ATGGGGAACAGTCTCCGTAACAAATGGTGCTGGCAAAACTGGATATCCATTTTCACAAAAATGAAACAATTCATATCTACCACCACACACAAAAATGAACTCAGAATGGATCAAAGAGCTAAATGTTAAACCTAAAACTGTAATGTTTCTGGAAGATAATACAGGAACAAAACTATGGGACTTTTTTTCCAGTAACAGAATACCAAACACAATGTCAAATGCACAAGCAACAGAGGACAAGTTAGATAACCAGGACCTCTTAAAAATAAAATATTTATGCTCATCGAAAGAGTTTATCAAAAGTAAAAAAAGAATTAACATATTGAGAAAAAAATATTTGGAAACAATGTATCTAGATAAAGGTCTAATCTCCTAAATACAAAGTAAACTTCAATAACTCAACAACAGAAAGACAAACAATCCAATAAGATGTGGGAGAAGGACATGAACAGACACTTCACCAAAGAGCACATTTAAGTGGCTGATAAACACATGAATAGATGCCTGTGATCCTAAGCCATTAAGAGAGATGCAAATCAAAACTATAATGAAATACCATCTCAACCCTGCAAAAATGGTACTGATAAAAAAAAAAAAAGTCAAAACAGAAAACAAGAAATGCTGGTGAGAATGTGAGGAAATTAGAACTCTTATTCACTGCTGTATAATTGTAAAATGGTACAATCAATATGAAAAACTATATGGTGCTTCCTCAAAAAGCTAGGAATAGAAATACCTATGATCCAGCCATTCAACTTCTAGTTATATACCCTAAAGATCTCACAGCAGTGACATACATAGACATACACATACGTATTTTCATTACAGCATTATGCACAATGGCAAAAGATGGATACAACCTACGTGTCCATCAATGGATGAATGGATAAACATGTTGTGGTACATACATACAATGGAATACTATACATCTATAAAGAAAAATGAGGAGTCCATAAAACAACTATAACATGGATGAATCTGGAGAACATAATGCTGAGGGAAATTAGTCAAGCACAACTTCTATAAAAAGACAAAAATAGGTATACACACAGAAATCAAACAAAATGTTCTTTGGTGGTTACCAGAGATGGTAGGGGGAGAAGAGGGAATCACTCTCTAGACAGTAGATACCTGGTATTTTTGATGATGGGAAAGGCAATACTGTGAGTAAATATGCACATTTAAACCAAAGTAAATGATGTCAGTAAGAAATACAAAAGATTAAGGGACCATACGGGTAAATGCTATAACATATACAGTTTGGCAACAACAGCAGTAACTCAAAAATATGTGAGTGGTTACACAAATACATATATGTGCATATATGTGTATAAAAAACCAAATTCACTGCCAATGAATTGTTTCTGACTCATTGAGACCCCTCCTTGGGTTTCCAAGGCAGCATCTCTTTGGAAGTAGATTGCCCTATCTTCCTTCTGAGGAGTGGCTGGTGGGTTTGAACCTCCAGCCTTCTGGTTAGCAGTTAAATGCCTTAGACACTATGCCAACAGAATTCCCATATATGTGCATTGTTGTTGTTGTTGTTATGTGCCCTCAAGTTGGATCCAACTCCTAGTGACCCCTCCTTGGGTTTCTGTGCTGGTATCATTACAGAAGTAGATTGCCCAACCTTCCTTCCGAGGAGTGGCTGGTGGGTTTGAACCACCGGCCTTCTGGTTAGCAGTCAAGAGCCTTAGGCACTGTGCTACCAGAGCACCTATATATGTGTATAGAAAGGTATATATGTATATATTGTAGTTTTTGTTGTTATATGATTCTGAGTCAGTTCTAAATCATAGTGATCCTATGTACAGCAAAGCGAAATTATGATTGGTCTTGCATTATCCTTACAATTGTTGCTATGCTTGAGCCCACTGTTACAGCCACTGTCAATCCATCTCATTAAGAGCCTTCCTCTTTATCACTGATCCTCTACTTTACTAAGTTTAATGTCCTTCTCCAGGGACTGGTCCCTCCTGATAACATATCCGAAGTACTTGAGATGAAGTCTTGCCATCCTCACTTCTAAGGAGCATTATGGCTATACTTTTTTCCAAGACAGATTTATTTGTTCTTCTGGCAGTCCATGGTACACTCAATGTTCTTTGCCAATACCATAATTCAAAGGCATTGATTCTTTTTTGGTCTTCCTTCTTTATTGTCTACCTTTCACATGCATATGAGATGATTGAAAATAGCATGGCTGGGTAGGCGAACCTTAGTCCTCAAAGTGATATGTTTCCTTTCAACACTTTAAAGAGGTTTTTTTGCAGCAGATTTGCCCAATGCAATACATCATTTAATTTCTTGACAGCTACTTTCATCAGCATTGTTTGTAGATCCAAGTATATACATGTGTGTATATATATATATATATATATATATATATATGCACATATAGGCTCATCTGTAGGCATAGATATATATATGTTTGTGTGCTGCTTACACACACACATACACATACATATACATATATATATATATACACACACACACACATATATATATATATATATATATATAAACTCACTGGTGACGAGTCATTTCTGACTCATAATGACCCTTCTTTGGGTTTCCAAGGTGGTATCTCTACCGAAGTAGATCGCCCAGTCTTCCTTCCTAGGAGTGGCTGCTGGGTTCGAACCATCAGCCTTCTGGTTAGCAGTCAGATGCCTTAGACACTACACCATCAGAGCTCCTATACACATATATGGCACCAGAGCTCCTTAACGGTTATTTATTTATGTACACACACACACACACACACACACCATTAAGGAGCTCTGGTTCCACAGTGCCTGAAGCATTTGACTGCTAACTAGAAATTTGGTGGTTCATACCCACCAGCCAATCTACTTCCATAAAGATTTACCACCTTGGAAACCCAATGAGGGTCACTGTGAGTTGGAATCGACTTGAGGCAGTGGGTTTTATATATCTACCATTCATCTGTCAGTTTGTTGTACTGTGGTGGCTTGCATGTTGCTGTGAGGCTTGAGGCTATATATTTATATAAATATAAAAATTATACTAAAAATAAATTTATTTAATATATATATATGTGTGTGTTTGTATATATATAATAAATATATGTTTATTTCATATATATAAAATAAAGCACAAAGGGGACAAAAAATTACCTCTCAGACATAACCAAACACCTTGTATTCTTGGCTTACTGGATTTCAAAGCTTAGGACCACAGTCTCATAGAACAACTCAATCAATTGGCACAACATAGTCTATGATGTTTATGTTCTGTGTCCTAGAATGGTAAGCAGCTTCTGGGATCTTGAAACTTGAAAGCAGCCATCTAAGATATAGATATTGGTTTCTACTTCTCCGGACCAAGAGAGAAAGAAGGAAACCAAAGACTCCAAGAAGAATATAGTCTACAAGACAAATTGGCCACACAAAACACGGCCTCATTTCTCCAGAATCCAGAATTATTAGATGGTTATCACTAAGCTCAGCCATTCTGACCAGGAGATACAATGTGTATGTGGTTATGTGCCATCGAATTGGCCCCAACTCATAGATAGGAGAAAATTGTAGAACAATAGATGGGAGAACATTGATACTAATCCATAGTTTATCATCATTCTTTAAATTTAATTCAAATTTGCATGTATTCTTCTGGATAAATGGGGCATTCAAGTAGGACTTCACTACTTTTTTTTATTTCAGGCAATAATACCTCAACTCAGAGAAAAATAAGACTAAAAAAGAACTCTTCAAAGCAAGTATTAGAGGGAGATCTTCACAGACTGAGTTTCCAGGTAAAGGACTAAGCAAGGATATCAGAAAACATTTCCCTTTATTGGACAACCAGAAGGGAATAAGAGCTCACTGACACTAGGAAGAAAACTGACACATGAACATTTTCAATAAATAGCTCCTGTTATTATTATGAGTAAATGAAAGCAAAATGGAAGTTGGCATTCTCTATTTTATACTTAAGAACTAAAGATCTCCCAGTGAATAAAGTGAAAGGTCTAGTGGGTTTCATAAGTCTGGTATTAAAAATAAAATTGCCCTCATTGACAGCTGCAGTGGATTTGGCATTTCACAAAAGAAGGAAAATGGATTTTTCAAAATGCTTTTCTTCTCCTTTTATAGGACACTTCAACTATTTAAATAATTTCAAAGTTATTTCTCAGAGAAATAGAATCAATTTTCTCTATGCTTGAAGCACATTAATGAATATTCTGAATTTCCCTCCCTCCAGCCAAGTGATAAGTCAAAGCAAAGAGCCCTGAAAGCTATTACATTGTAGAAAATACAATTTTCTCCTTGGGAAAGAATAGTTACTGGTCATAAGCTGCTGAATTGAACACAGGAAATATCAAGTTACTATCGCTATGGCATGCTCAAGAAAAGTTCTTCTATAGTGGTCAGCTATAACATTCATTATCCTCACCTCTGTCAGCACAATGACAAAGCAAACATCCCTCATCATGCTGAGCATGATGAAGCTGAGTAAAATGAGAGAAAATGGACATCTAAATTCACAAAGTATAATAGTTTAAAAAATCAAACCAAGAAAATGCTGCAATTATATTTAATTTAATTTCTAGCTTCAAACTTAAATGGCTCTAAAAATTCTCCTCTCTCTCTTTACATTGCCCATTACCTCTGTGTTGTATATCATCATACTTGCCATAGTTCTCTCTACTGACTAACTATATATACCTCATTGGCAACTCCCAATCACTCCTTGCCAAATAGTATAGCAATTCTTGATTAACATCTGATCTGCTTCAAATTATTTCTTTATTTAGTCAAATGTGGGGAGCAAAAATTAAAACTAAAACCCAAAAGCAAGACGAATAGTTTTATTTCAAAGCAAAGCAACTAATTTTTATCCTATGTGGAGTCCAACGTGATTCTTCATATAAAATGGCTAAGAGTTATTTCATCAAAATCATGCCTTAGACTTATTTTGCCTTTACATTTTAATGACTGATAATACTTAGAATCTTAGAATACATCTCATCTCACCTTCCTGCAGGGCTAGAGCTGCTATCTTCACTTTCCCACTGCTCGTTTTTGCTTCTTGGAATTGGGGGCTGCAGCATTTCAGCAGCCAGTGGATCAGCATCATTTTCTTCTCGACCAATCCATTCTCCTATCACACGGGGTCTCAGAAGAGATGAATTAAAAGCCACTGTTTCCTAAGGAAGGAAAAAAGATGTATTGCAGAGTTTTATTCTTGTTAATAAGATATCAGGAAAATAATCTTGTCTAGAGTTTTGGTTGTTTGTTCAAATCAACATGTTTCCCTTTTTCTTTCTAAATTGACTTAAAACTAAATTTTAACATTCTCTCAATCTCTACCAGATGATTTATTCTGTGCAATTTATGTTAATTCTTAAAAGTGACTAGGAGAAAGGATGCAGTAGGGAATCTGATATGCAACTTAAGGCTATATATACTCATAGCTATATGTACTCACCTATCTGTGGCACTCAGAAGAGTATTGGTATGACCTCCACAGTAAAGAAGCTTGGTGTTGATAGGAGATGGTAAATGATTTCTCAATAAGTAATCTGGGTGGGGCCAGAGGCCAGGAGCAAGAGGGTATTGCATTGGAAAAGCTTTTTTCCCTCCAATGGTGAAGCATTTTGGACTTTTAGGGATTCACTAGGGGTCTGAGCAGGACAACAACAAAGACAGGTCTCATATGTTAATTCAAATATTTAAAGTTATCTTTTTTCATAGACTTGGATATGAAGAAATTATTTAAATAATATTATATATGGATATTGGATGTGTATAATTGCTAAGGATATTTTGGTGAGTGGAACAAAGATAGGGTGAAAAAAGCAATATAGCTCTGGTGGTGTAGTGCCTAAGGCACTTGACGGCTACCTAGAAGGTTGGCAGTTCAAATCCACCAGCCACTCCTTGGAAAGAAGATTGGGAAATCTACTTCCTAGAGATACCACCTTGGAACCTCAAGGAGGGGTTGCTATGAGTTGGAGACAACCCGATGGCACATAAACAACAACAACAACATAGTATAATCCAATTTTTGTTTAAAAATACTTATGGGTGTATTTACATCATTTCTTTACTAATTGATTCACTTATTCATTTTCTAATATTTATTAGGACCTACTATATGCCAGGTACTATTTTATATGCTAGAGAAAACAATGGTGTGTAAAACTAGGTTTTCAATACTTGTTTTATCTAGAAGGAGTGACTACAGCTAATTTCTATTTCTTTTGGCATTTTCATATTTTAAAAATATTCAATGATAAATATGTACTTTTCTTACAGTGAGAAGAAAAACATGTAGTTTGAAAACATCTTGATCTGAGCAACACAGGCCCTACTTAAATTATTTGTAGCTATAATTTTTAGCATTATAAGTGTTTTGAACAACTTCAAAACTCAGACCTCACCTTTTGTCTTTTACAATTCACAAAAATATCAAATACAATACACAATACAAAAGCAATATTATATTAAAAAAAGGACAAAAAGCAATATGTGAAATATAGTTTAGAACACACTTGATGAGTATTTATTCAAGTAATAAAAATACACTTGATAAATTTTAGTAACAGTGTTTATATGATCTAGCAACGTATCTGAACTCTTTCTGTATTCCCAGTTAGGAAAATCAAGATCATACAATGGCGTGGAATCATGTAATCAAAGTAATGTTCTGAAATACCTAAATAGGCATATTCATCTGCCAAAATTAGTATTACTTGAAGTAAAAGAATTCCAATTAAGAAAAATGTTGTTAAATTTTAAATCTGTATTTACTTTTGTGTGCGTGTGTGTGATTTAGGTGGAAGTTTACAGAACAGAGTTTGTTTTACATTCAACATTATATGGACACTGGCATTTTTATATGTTAAAAAATATTTTAAAAAATCTGTATTAACTTTTTAAAGTAGATTAATTTTATAGAATCAACAAATCTGTAAAGACAAATGCAGTTTGAATCAGTTGCAACTTGTGTGGCTTTGAAATGTTATTTAGTTTCTCAATTTTATTGTTTTCAACTGTAAAATAGGGATGATGGGAATAACCCAACCCATTGTATCAAATTAATTAGTAGGTAACTCATAGTTAAACTATAACATTCTGTACATACACTTTTTTTTTTTTTTAAGTTGCCTTCAAGTCAGATTCAAATATCTAAGGAAACAGACTGTATTCCAACCACTCCTATCTGTGTGACATGTCTGGAAAAAATTGGAAACCATAATTCCTTGACTGGGCCAATTGGGAATAATAGATGATTGGTTGTCAATATGGGCAGAGTGAAAGAACAGGAAATTGATGGTGTGGAGATTTTCCTCCTATAAAATTGTAGTTTACTGAAAGTGTACTAAACAAGTTGGGAAATCAATCCAATCTTATCAATCCTATTTATATAATGGGGCAAAATTGAGCTTAGGGAATTGTCTTGATATTGTATTTCCTCAACAACAGATGACAAGAATTGGAACACTGGGACAAAGAAATTGCCAATTGGAGCAACAGAAATAAGTAGGTTTAGGTATCGCAAATGAAAAACAAAACAAAACAAAAAAATGAAGTAGGAGATAGGATTGAATATGATCAAAGTTTTGAGAAGTGTAGAAAATCAGAAATAACTTTTTGGTTTCTTACTAAGAGATTGGATACAATGAGAGATGTCACTGCTGTTGGAAAGTAGAGCACAAAGAAAAGGATTGATGGTTTGATACTCAGTACATTTAATTCCAGCTGGCAACAGAAATTTAGTGAGAAAAAGCTGATGGGCAATGCAATATAAAAAAGTGCAAACAGGGTCAGAGGAGTTAGGAAGTGAGTATTTTACAGGTAAAACATGCCTCTACTACTTTTATTTTTAAGAATGTACAAAGTATTTTAATACTTGCCATTTAGTATTGATGAGAAGAACACAAAGAGTGCTTCCCCTTTTAAAAAGTGTTATATGCCTACAAATTCTTGAATAGAGTCAACGTAGTCATAATAGATTAGAATGGCCTATTTTCTTTGGGTAAATTCCTTATACTTTATTAAGCCAAGTAAATATATTTCCATAAATCTTTATGAAAGTATGTCAGTAAAGAGAGAAAGCAGTTCTTAACACTGCATATAACACAAACAAAAACATTAGTTCATGGAAAAAGAATTGTAAACATTGCAAATTGAATGCAACATGTTTTTAAAATTATTTTAAAGTATACAACTAATTTAAAATTTCAGGGATAAACTCTGTAAATCCTAATTATTCTTCAGAAATGTATTAATATATTTGTAAACATTCATTTGCTTTAGAGCCAGGTAACAGTTTTTTAAAGTAGAAATCAGAAACTGCAGGAAGAATAAGACTATGCTAGACAAATGAGCTTTCTCCTAAAAATGTATCAGGATATTGAAATTTGGTTCAAGATTTCAAGTAACAGAGAAGTAACCTAAATGTAATACTTTTTATAGCCTCTTTTACTAATATTAAAGTTATTATGAAAAGCTTAAATTGCATCACTTATATCGTGTAACTCAAATTAAAGATAAAAGATAATCTGAATCATACAAATAAAATTTTTTAGATTGATTATCTAGATTTTTTTCTCCTTCCTAAATTAATTATTGAACTAAAACAGCAATGATATGTATTCCCATGTTTTTAGCAGAGATGTATATGTTGTATTTTATACAAAGCTAATTCTCAGACTTAAACATGAATATGTAGCTGTTGTTGTTGTTGTTGTTATGTGCCGTCGAGTCAAACCCGAGTCACAGCGACCCCTCCTTGGGTTTCCGAGGCAGTATCACTATGGAAGTAGGATTGCCCAACCTTCCTTCTGAGGAGTGGCTGGTGGGTTTGAACCGCCAGCCGTCTGGTTAGCAGGCAAGTGTCTTAGCCACTATGCTACCAGAGCTCCCAAACATGAATATGTAGCTGTTAGGTGCCATCAAACCAGTTCTGACTCACAATGACTCTATGTGCAACAGAAATAAACACTGTCAGATCCCACACTATCCTCACAATCAATGCCATGTTTAGCACAGTGTTGCATGGATTGACATTGTGTCCATCCATGTCATTAGGGGTTTTCCTCTTTTTCACAGGCCATCTACTTCACTAAGTCTGATGTCTTCTACAAGGACTAGTCCATCCTGGTAATGTGTCCAAATCATGTGAGCCAAAGTCTTGCCATCCTCCCTTCAAAGGAGCATTCTTGCTGTACTCAACACAGATTTGTCATTATTCTGGCAATCTGTGGTATACTCAATACTATTTGTCAACACCATTATTCAAAAGCATCAATTCTTCTTTGGTCTTCCTTCTTTATTGTCCAATTTTCAAATACTTATGAAGCAATTGAAAATACCATGACTTGAGTTAGGCATACCTTAGTCCTCAAAGTGACATCCTTGCCTTTGAATACTTTAAAGAGGTCTTTTGCAACAGATTTGCCTGCTGCAATTCATCAGTTGATTTCTTGACTGCTGCTTCCATGGGCACTGATTGTCAATCCAAGTAAAATGGAATGCTTCACAACTTCACCACTTTGTTTACCATGATATTGCTTATTGTTCCAGTTGTGAGGATTTTTGTTTTCTTTATGTCGAAGTGTAATCCATACTGAAGGCTGTATAGTATTTTACCTTCATCAGAAAGTGCTTCAAGTCCTCTTCAGTTTCACCAATAAGGTTGTGTCATCTGCATATCACAAGTTGTTAATGAGTCTTCCCTAATCCTGATGCCACGTATTCCTTCATATAGACTAACTTCTAGAATTATTTGCTCAGCATACAGATTGAATAAGTATGATGAAAAGATACAACATTGATACACACTTTCCTAATTTCATACCATGAAGTATTCCCTTGTTCTCTTCAAACAACTGCCTCTTGGTCTATGTTCAGGCTCCACATGAGCACACTTAACTGAATTGAATTCTCAGTCTTCGCAATGACAATGTTATGATTCATACAGTCATATGCCTTTGCATACTCAACAAAACACAGGTTAGCATCCTTCTGGTATTCTCTGCTTTCAACCAAGATACATCTGACATTAGCAATTACATTTCCCATTCCACATCCTCCTGTGAATCCAATTTGAATTTCTGGTAGTTCCTGTTGATGTACTGCTGCAATCTTTCTTTTATTAAATCTTCAGTAAAATTTTACTTGAGTGTGATATTAATGATAT